AAGAGCTTGCCAACACTGAAAAACCTGACACAAAGCCTGTTAGGCAGTAAATGGCAGACATTTCTTTCTCTACATTAAAACTGATTTTCAACATGAAAAGCAGATTTACAGGGAACCTTTAGGGTAACCACACTTAATGCATTATTGATCCAGTGACTATCTCAAAACAGGAAAAGATTTTTAAGTAAGTTGACCATTTGGAAACCACTGGGTATGTCAAGGTCATCTCGTAGAAAAGCCCAAGTTCTTAGGATCTCTGAAGAGCTCTCAAAAGCAGTCACAGTCCCAAGAAGCTGGTCCTCTAAGAATCATTTTGGGACTCTTCGGAGTTCATTCATCAGCCAAAGAGCACCAGTGAGCAAAGCCAAGGAGCCTGACTGGTGAGTGGCGGCCAGAGGAGTTGGGACGTACATCAGCAGCGTGCTGATGCCCAAGCCCACCTGTCACAAAGGAAAGAAGGCAATAGGAAAGGCAGTAACCCAAAGTTCACATTGAAAATGACCAGGCATGGATAACCACACACAAACCTCCACATCCTCCTATCAGAGCACTTAAAATACACACATTTTTAATTTCACAAGCAAATATGCTTACAATGAAAGAAATTCGACCAAAATTGATAACCCTAAAATTCCCCTTAATTATCCTTCATTCCATCCCAGTTCCCCAGAGCAGTCACTGTTACCAGTTTCTGCACCCTTGTACTTTAATATGTTTATAGAGAAATATATAGTTTTGTGCTTTTAAAAAACATATTGTTTTATCACTTGCTTTTTTTCATTTAGCAATATACGGTATGTATTGAGATCTTATTAAACTGCTGTGCAGTATCACATAGTATGGATATACCATAGTTTTGTTTTGTTTTGTTTTGTTTTGTTTTGTTTTGTCTTGAGACAGAGTTTCACTCTGTCTGCCAGGCTGGAGTGCAATGGCATGATCTCGGCTCACTGCAACCTCCACCTCCAGGGCTCAAGCAATTCTCCTGCCTCAGCCTCCCGAGTAGCTAGGATCACACGTGTGTGCCACCACGCCCAGCTAATTTTTGTATTGTTTAGTTGAGATGGAGTTTTGCCATGTCAGCCAGGCTGGTCTCGAACTCCTGACCTCAGTAATCCACCCACCTTGGCCTTTCCCAAAGTGCTGGGATTACAGGCGTGAGCCACTGTGCCCAGCCCAGAGTTTTTTAACTGTTTAGGTTGTTTCCAATTTTTCACTACCACAATTCTATGATGAATTTTCTCATATAAAAGTCTTTGTGCATTGGACTGTTTCTAGGACAGACACTAATAAGTCCATTTGCTGGGCCAAAGAATTATCCATTTAACTTTTAAAAGATATTGCCAGCCTGGGTGACAGAGTGAGACTCCGTCTCCAAAAAAAATAAAAAAAGATATTGCCAAATTGCCCTCTGGGAAAAACTGTACTAACTCATGCTCTCACCAAGAATATCTGAAGGTATCCATTTTCCTATGCCCATGGCAATACCTGATTTTTTTTTTTCATTTTTTTCCAATTTGATGGGCACAAAATGGTATTTATTTTTTAAATTTGCTCCTTTGATTATGAGTGAAGCTGAACAGCTTTTCATGTTTACTGGTCATTAATCATTCTTTTCGTGGTAATTGTGTATTGATATCCTTTACTTATTTTCCAGTTATTAATTTTTAAATTTATTATAAATATGGAAAAATATTTTCTCCTAGTCTGTCACTTTTCTTTTTTTTTTTTTTTTTAAACAGGGTCTCACTCTGTTGTCTAGGCTAGGGTGCAGCAGTGTGATCTTGACTCACTGCAGCCTCAACCTCCCTGGCTCAGGTGATCCTCCCATCTTAGCCTCCTGAGTAGTTTGGACTACAGGCAAACACCACCATGCCTCTAATTTTTTATTTTTTTGTACAGATGGGGTTTTGCCATGGTGCCTAGGCTGGTCTCAAATTCCTGGCTCAAGTGATATGCCCACCTAGCCTCCCAAAGTGCTGGGATTACAGCCATGAGCCACTGTGCCCTGCCCCTTTTTTAACTTTGTATTGGGGATACTGTCAGAACAAAAAGAAGTGGTTTATACCTGTGTATACGCCAAAGCCAGCAGAGTCACTGCTGCCATCTTGGTCCTTCTAGGAAGGGGAATTCTCCGAGAGAGGAAGTAGAGCACTGTAACGGCAGTGACTGAAGTGATTCCCTGCAGGGAAGAAAGATTCTATCACATTAGATAGAAGTGCCAGGTTTCTACTCACCTTACATGTACTTCCTCTAGAACCATTCAGCAACCATGAAGTACTTTCCTGTACCAGTCACAGAGAACCTCCCCGCAGTCCCACCCTGATTACTTCTCCACAGGCTGTCTCTTCCACCATCCTCTTCTGCTTGCCACTTAAACATCGGTATCACCTAGGGATCCACCTAAGATGCTATATGTACCACTTCATACACCCTCGCTCTCAGTGATCTCATCCACTTTCCAATATGGGTGTCCTCTCATTTTTAAGTCACTCTTTGCGTCCTTATCCCTAACCGTATCTCTAATCCTATATTCTTAAAGCAGGGCTGACCCCAGCACATGAGGGTTATTATTTTCCTGGGCTGTGAGTGGAGAAAGTGCTGGTGCTGCCAGCTGGTGCTAAAAAAGACCTAAAGTCTCATTTTCATTACTATCTCTTCAGAACAAGGGTCCAGGACTGGCAATAATGGTCCCCTTCCTCTCCCACGGTATCAGGGAGAATGTTTTCTATCATATTTCTACATTTATTTCACATCGTTTCCTTTTCAGAGCTGTCCACAATGACAATTTCAACCAGGCTTTACTTATGCTAAGATACTGTGTGCAGGTGGGGACTCAGCCCACACCAGGTAACACGCTTCAGCCCAGCCCCCATTGGACAACTCAGTCCTCTGGCCCCCTCTCTCTGGATGTGCTGCTCTCATCTCACACTCAACATGCCTGCATCTGATGACATCCTCCCACCTCTAGCTCCACACTCATTCCGATGGCCCCATCGCTATAAGTCATGTTTTAGGCATGCTACAGAAGACACTTTGGACTTTCACTTGATCTTTCTTCACCTTCATTCCTGACAGCCAATGTTATTAACTCTCTTCCTTTATTTATTTATTTATTGTAGAGATGAGGTCTCCCTGTGTTGCCCAGGCTGGTCTTGAACTCTTGGGCTCAAGCAATCCTCTTGCCTTAGCCTCCCAAAGGGCTGGGATTACAGGCATGAGCCACTGTGCCCACTGCTCTTATTTTTAAATTAAATTTAATTGTTTAAGAGACAGGCTCTCACTCTGTCTCCCAGGCTAGAGTGCAGTAACGTGATCACAGCTCGCTGCAGTCTCAAACTCCTGGGCTCAAGCAATCCTCTCGCCTCAGCCCCCCAAAGTGCTAGGATTATAGGTGTGAGCCACTGTGCCCAGCCTCTGTTCCTTTAAATTCTCTCTCAAATGCATCATTCTTCTCAAGTCCCACTCCTACCATGTAGGCCCCATCTCCAGCGCGCTCTCCCTGGCATCGCACAGCAGCACTATGCTTCTCACAGTCTCCTTACTGCTCATCTTTCCCCGCTCCAATTCATCACACACAGGCCTCCAAGCTAATCTTTAAATGGCCCATAGCAGAACCTCAAAACATATTAGCTTAAACAGAATGAAAAGTAACTAGTGAAGCTCCTGGCTCCTTGAGCTTCTGGTTTAGCTCCGAGAGCTATGTGCTTAGCAACTATGGTCTCTGCATTCTCTTCTCTACTCAACCACATTTCTGCTGAAATGACTTTCTAGGTAGGTGCAGGATTGAGGGAGGTTATCACTTGCCAAGTGGTAAAAGGCACATTCGAACTTTAAGAAGCTGGCAATGTCCTGAAAGCTAGAATTTGGCTGGGGTAGGGGGTTGGGGGGACAGGGGTGAGTAATGAGGACAAAGACATTAGATTAGAGAAATGGTCCTAAAATTTCTCCAAAGAGAGCAGAAAGTATAGTTCCTGCTCTACTCTGTCAGTGTTGCCATCAGTGCTTCACTGACACCCCAAAGCCTATGATAGGCTCCTGTGCTCTCTGGCAGGTACCCACCAGCTACACTTACCAGAATCCGGTGATCAAACTGCACCGTGGTGGGATTCTCAAAAACATTCCTCAGGATGGGGGAGAAGGTAAAGAGGTCCTCTGGGATCCAGGATTCCCCCATTTTGGGAAAGGAGTTGTAAACAAGCCCAGCATCTAGCCCTGCCACAAAAGCCCCTGTATTCCAAGGTAAATGGTATTTATTAAAATGAGAAGAAGAAGAGACCAAATACTAGTTCTGACATAGAAAAAGTCTGTTATCCCTGAGTTAAACTAAGGGAACAGTCAGAGAACAATAGAAAGATCTACAACAGAGGTTCTCCAACAGGGAAGACACATCACAATTACCATGGAAACTTCAAATCTCTGCATCCTTACCTGCTCCCACCCTAAGATTCTGCTTCCTCTAGAGAAGTGCAGTAGAGGCTGCGGTGTGGGGGGAGGGGGAGAGGCTTACTAGCTTAGAAAAATTCCCTTAGTGATTTTGATGCCCTCTTGACCCCGCCACTGAGTGCTACTGATTTATTTTAGAAATGCTCTCCCACAGATGTCTGCATGACTGGCTCCCTTACTTCCCCAGCTTCCACTCAGATGTCACCTTACCAAAGAGATTTCGCTTGATGATCCTATATAAAATGGTACTCCCCTAGCACACTTTCTGTCTCCTGACCCTAATTTATTTTTCTTCATGGCACTAAATATCATCAAACACATTATGTTTCCATTGTGCATTATCTGTCTTCCCCAAATGCTCAATAAATGTTTGTTGACTGAACACGGAAGTGAGAAAAATCCCAAAACTTATAAACTAAATCCTGGATAAACA